AAAGGTTCAAATCGACGATTTGCAGCAGTCGAATTTCCTTTATGGAAGGCCTCCTATAGGTGATTTCTTGTTGATTTGAAGAGAAGCGGTAATCGAACTACACGGGATGTTACTGTGAAACCGATTCCCTAACCAGTATCACCTCGGACCGTCAGTCAAACTTTTGGCCATGTCTTGTACAGCCCCTTTATTGAACGAGAGAAGTCTTAATTGTGACAGCCNACAATTACTCTCGCTCTAATTTGTTAACCTTGATGGCTTTTCCTGTCTGCGCCTTCAGCACTGAGTATTTACCTGTAACTTTTCAAAATGTCTAATATGTTATTTCATTTGCATTTTTCCGTAGTCTCTTTGTGTCGAAAATTTGAGCCTCTATTTAAGATGCTTGCACGAATTACTGCCTCAATGACGGTGTTTGTAAGAAGAACCCTGTTGGTTACGTGGAATGTGCATGTAAGGAGAACTTCAGTGGTGAACGGTAAGATATTGAAACTTTCTCGATTGATTACGTGCCCCTAGTCATCCTCCATTTTTCTCTCATGGTTTAACTTACCCGTAGTTCCTCGTTGTCTCTCATCTATTTCATGTCGCAACCATCGTAACTTCTTGGATTAAATTATCTCCCTTCAGGTGTGAAGTTCGTTTCCAACCGAAATCGCAACGGGTAGCAATGATAACCGCTGGTATAGGTACGCTCTTGTTACGATCAACTATTTTTTTTTCAAGCAAAATTTTTTTTCTGAAAAATACGCTTTTTTGTTCCTACCTATGGTAGACTTGGAATCACTATGGAATGGTTTGACTGTCAGTAATCTTTTTGTGAAATCATTTAAAATTAAATCGATTTCAGGAGGCATTGTCGCAATTCTCGTTGTTATCGTTATCGTTATATTTATGATCTCGTTCCGATTCAATCGATCCGAAGTCGATCTTGCTGAAAAGGTTCAAATCGACGATTTGCAGCAGTCGAATTTCCTTTATGGAAGACCTCCAATAGGTGATTTCTTGTTGATTTGAAGAGTAGCGATAATCGAACTACACGGGATGTTACTGTGAAACCGATCCCTTAAACGAGTATCACCTCGGACCATCAGTCAAACTTTTGGCCATTCTTGTACAGCCCTTTATTGAACGAGAGAAGTCTTAATTGTGACAGCCATGTGACCGCTTAGCGTTTGGTTGTCCATCAAGCAGGAAGTTGGAATTGTACAGGTAACAAAACTATTATCAGTGACGAGAAGGACAGAATTCTCAGGGTCAAAGTCGTACTGGAATGGCAGAGACGGTTCTACTTGAAA